TGGATGAGAATTTGACTTACATTGAGGAGCCTGTGGCTATCTTGGACCTGCAGGTTAGGAAGTTGAGATCAAAGGATATTTCTTCAGTGAAGGTTCAATGGAGGGGTCCTCTAGGCGACCTAGGAGACCGAGCACGACATGCGGATTTGTTATCCTCTTCTATTCACCGCTTCAGGTATGTCCTTATGCACGTTCGAGGATGAACGTTTGTTTTAAGAGGGGGAGAATGTAATTACCCGATCGGTCGTTTTGTGTAATTCTGCCCTGTAACCCCTTTTATTGCTTCACACGTGTGTGTTTATACTTTTATGACTTGCGGGGGCGGGATTTCTTAGAAGTTAATTGAAAATGCAAACTTCACTTGGGCGTATCGAAAGTCCGTAGGTTGATTTGCCGAAATTTGGCAATTTAAAGTTGAAAAGTTTGACCGTAAGTTGGCTTTTAGCTATCGAGCTCGGAATTTGGAATAGGTCTGGTGTCGTTTGGAGTTGATAGGATTCGGACGCTTAGTTGTAATTCTAGAAGTTCTTGAAAATTTCTTTGAAATTCATGCGTTTTAGAGTTCAATTCGTAGTTTTAGATATTATTTTTGTGTTTTGATCACGCGAGTGAGTTGTGTGGATGTTTGGTTTGGAGCCCCGAGGGCTCGGGTGCGTTTTAGACGCTTAGCAGAGTGTTGTTAGAGTTTAAGTTGCTGGTTTTTTTCACAGGTGCCTTTGATCTCGCATTTGTGAGTTTTCGGATCGCAATTGCGATACTAGGCCAAGTCTACTGGGTTCGATTTGCAATACGTACCTAGGGGAGATCTGGTTTGCATTTGCGATCTTCATGGTCGCATTTGCGGAGGTCCAAGGTTCGCAATTGCGAACTTATCATCGCAATTGCGATGACAGCAGAAATGGGAGGTCTTCGCTTTTGCGAGCGATTCTTCACATTTGCGGGGTTCGCAATTGTGAACCTCATGTCGCATTTGTGACATCTACGACTGGACAAATAGCTGAGGGACGGGATTTTTGAACTCATTCTCTCACTTTTGAACCCTAGACTCGGTAGGAGGCGATTTGGAGGGGATTTTCACCTGCAAATGTTCACCTGCAAATGGGTAATTGATTTTAATCTATTTCTAATCATATTCCATCAACATATCTTAGATTTTAACATCAAAATCATGTGAATCAAAGTGAAAATCGGTGAAACTTTGTCAAGTATTTGAAAAACAAGAAATTGAGTTCTGAGAGTCGATTTGGACTCGGATTTTGAAACTAATCACATATATGAACTCCTGGGGTCATGGGTAGACGGAATCTACCATTAGACCCGGATTTTGACCGGGCGGTCCCGGGGTTTGACTTTTGTTGACTTTTTGAAAAAAGTGTAAAGATCTTAACTTTATCTATTGCAATTGAATTCCCTAGTATTGTTTGATGATATTGAGTCTATTTTGGTTGGATTTGAGCCGTGTGGAGGAGGACTTTAAGGGAAAAGCTATTTCCGAGTGTTGAATTGGCCTAGTTGAGATAAGTATCTTGCCTAACTTCGTGTAGGGGAACTACCCCTTAGGATTGGTATTGTTTGATTCACTTGTGCTAAGTGAAACCCGTGTACGTAAGGTGACGAGTAGGTACACGGGTTTTACGTGGTATTTGACCGGTTTAGGTTACTTAGACTATTTTCATGTTTTATTTGAAATGCCAAACCTAATTATGTTAGACTATCCTTAAATGCTTTAGTTGACTTGTTTAGTATTTGTTCTATATCCCACTTGCTAAATTGCTCCCATACATTAGTTGAACTTGTTGCCTTCTTTATTGTTACATGCTATCTCTTCATTGTTAATTATCATTGTTTGAAGTTATCATTCGTGTTAATCTTTCCTTATTGATTTTCGTTACTTGAAGTAATTGTTCATGTTATCCCTTTGCTTGTTGATTTCCATTATTTGAGAGTCATTGTTGAATATTATCTCTTTTATTATGAGTTAGTCTTATCTAATATCGTGGTTATACATTATTTCTCTCATTCTGAGTTACTTGGTGTTGGAGTTGTGAAAGTTATTAATACGTTGAGGAGATGTTGGTTATTGTTGAAACAACTATCGTATTGAGCATTTTTCATTCATTGTTGTTGTTGATATTCTTGTATACATTGTGGTGGAGCCATGAGTTATTGTTGTGGAAACATTGATACTATTGTTGTTGAAAAGTTGTGATATATGGGCACTTGTGGTGCGGATTATTATTATGATATGACATTGACGAGCATGCGGCGGTATAAGGCTTGGGGTTAATGTGCATGAGATGGTATAAGATGGGAATTATATGTGTGTTTCTTGTAGGAGAACTACGTGAAGTCACGCGGCGTCATAAGGTGGGCTAAAGTGCGTGTAGCTATTTCGGGAAAACTATTTTCAAAACCTATTTTCAAATGTAAAACTCACGCGGCAGTATAAGGAAATATTGTGATTGAAATTGAGAAAAAGTGAATATGAGGCGGTACCTCGGTTGTGATTCTAATTATACGAGGCAGTACCTCGATTTTGATTTCATTATACACGAGGTGGTACCTCGTTGTGATTCTTGTTGTTATTTTATGTTGCAAAGTGTTTTGGTGGGAGCATATCTTGTTGTTTCACTCTTATTTGTTCTAGCAGTTATTGTCCGTACATGATCATCGTATCCCCTTTAGTTTCTTCTTTTAATCCATTTCTATTGTTGATTTGTGGTACTAGTTCATGCTATCATCTTGTTCTGTATTAATTGTTTCTTCACTTTCCATTACATATCCGTATTACACTTTATACTCTTATTTATATCCTAGTAGGTGTCTTGACCTGACCTCGTCACTACTCTACTGAGGTTAGGCTTGATACTTACTGAGTACCGTTATGATGTACTCATACTACGTTTCTGCACTTTTTTTGTGTAGATCCAGGTACGCCTGCCTCATGCCGGTCATTAGAGATTTCCTACTCGCTGCCCTATCGAAGACTTCAAGGTATGCATGCTCGCCGTCCGCAGGCCTCAGAGTTACTTTCCCTTATTCTCATCTACTATTGTATTTCCTTTCGGATAGTGATGTAGTAGTACTCTAATTGTATTCTATAGAGCTTATGACTCAGTTCTACTGGTTTTGGTGTGTGTATTGTGAGATTCTGTTTTCGGAAGGTTTTTATCAATTATTTAGTTATTTTCAGTAACTTGTTAATTATATCTGTTCAGTTATTCTTAATTGTTGGGCTTACCTCATCGTAGAGACTAGGTGCTATCACGAAATCCTACAGAGGAAAAAATTAGGATCGTGACAGTTTGCCTAGAAAGTAGACGTTAGGCTCCATCACGACCCCGAGATTGGGATTCCGGGTCATGACAACTGCAGCTCGAAGTGTGGAAGACAGTTGCATCTATATTATATTTCTAGATCCCACGTGGGGGATTTGACCAAGATGATGCCGCAACCAGTGTGGAAGCACTCTGTATAGGGTCAAATTTGACCCTCAGCATCTCTACGCCAGTGGGTACGCCCAGTGAGTGTACGCCGACTAACGTAGCGGGTACGGCTCGGCCGTGGGGACAAAAGCGACATCGTTCAGGACTCAGTGTCTTCACTAGGGAGACGTTACCTGTCTTTGTAACTTTTTGATTCTTTCGAGGAGGGTCTCTTATTATATAAAGGGGACCCTCATATTGTAAAAGGGACATCTGATCTAATACAACTCTCTCATTTTCTGGCTTTCTCTCTCTATCTCTACTTCAAACGAACATATCTTATTGAGTTCATATTATCACTTTGCAGTACTAGATCTACAACAATATTATCATCTTTGCATCTCTAGGATTATTATATTTGATTACGATTTACCCCTTTTCCTACTTTTGATTGTTTTTTAGCTTACAAAGTATATCGTTAACTTTTGAGCCAAACAATTTGGCGCCGTCTGTGGGAATTTCGAGAATCAAACCATAGTATCCACCTAGAGATCAACCAACTACCACTCTCTACACCACACGAAAACAGAAAATGGCCGAAAATAACACAAGATCGAAATCGATATTGGGTGTCACTACTAATCTCCTTGGCCCTCTCAACCCAGACGAGGCATCCCGAATGTCCTTCCCTATCCGAAGGTCTGACGATCTTGCACGAAAAAGGAGCTTCCACATCTGCGGCTACGGAAGCACCCTTAGGGGTCAAAGAGCTACTGGAAAGATGGCTAACAAGCACTCTAAGGCGGATTAACATGGTACTCTCAGCTACCGGCTAAGGCAACACTACAACAAAAAAGGGATTTAGCGGCAATACAAAATGGCTTTAGCGGCAATAATAATAGCCGCTATATCTTTTACCGGCCATTGGTGTTTCGCCGCTGAAGCCGCGGTCGGCAAAGCCTTTAGCGGCCATTCTAACAAAAGCTGGTAAAAGGTATGGTTATTGCCGCTAAAAACTACTATCTTTAACGGCTATTGTTTGCGGCAATTATAATGGCTGCTAAATCCAATCCAAAACGGCTAATTATGCTCCCTTAGCATCCATTTATATAGACGCTAAATTCAAAATAATTGCTGCTAAAAGTTTGCATCTTTAACGGCAATTGTTTGCGGCAATTATAATGGCTGCTAAATTCAAACCAAAATGGCTAATTATTCTCCTTTAGCATCAATTTATATAGCCGCTAAATTCAAAATAATTGCCGCTAAAATTAGCATCTTTAACGGCAATTATTCTGTAGCAATTAAAATAACTATAGTATCCCTGCTAAGAACATCTTAGTTTGCTCTTTTAGCGTCTATTTTAATGGCAACGAAATTGCCGCTAAAAGTCAATATCTTTAACGATAACTTTTTTGCAGCAATTATTATGGCTCCAATATCCGTGTGAAAAGCTCTTAATTTGTCCTTTTATCGTCCTACTTTATAACAGGTATATCCAGCTAAATAAGCACTACAAATCACAAGCGGTAATACAATAGTTTAGCCAGTAATAGTTACTACATCCATCCAGAATATGATCCAAAAAATAAAATATATTAATATTAATTCAAAAAAACATAATATTTAAATCTTAACAAAAGAAAGTACTAATAAAAATATAGCAACTTAAAAAATAAACTTATATTGTTTGAACTAAATAACTAATGTCATTAAATAACTAATCCAGACGAACGATGGTGTTCAAATGATTTCCGCACTTTCCATCATTTTGAAATCTTCCACCCGCTAAATTATCGAACATTAGACTATATGACCTGAAACTATAAAATAACTGTGTCAAAAGATGAAATATAATGTGAAAAAATATTCTTTGTCAATGAACACCCTCACCCAACATCTATAAGCAGAAACAACTATATGTATTTATAAGCGAATGGATGTGCAAACAATTAAAGAGAGTTTCTTTCTTTGTTATGATAGAGAAGAAACAAACAAAAAATTCAAAAGCAGAGTATTAGCTTGGATAAGTAAAAAGAAGTTACACGCCAACTTACAACAACAACAAGCAAATATCATTAACAAAGGCCAGAAAAATACTACCAACAATGTATGAACCGGAATCGATAAAAGAAATCAAAGACCCATAAAAATATGTTTGAACCGAAGCAAGAATAAAAAAGTTCCAAAAACACTCTTTATTTCTTCACATACGAGGACGGCAAGAATAACAAAAGTTCCAAGAACACACTTTGAGTCAACCAGGCAAACCACTTTTTTTCTAAAAAATTAATTTCCTTTATACCAAACACTTTCAGTGTTAAGAACATAACTAACAAAAAAGATACAATGTAGATTAAAAGAAATAAGGTACTTCAACTTGATCCTATAATAGGAAATAGAAAGCATCATGGATTTCTTAAATAAACATGCGACATATGCTTAAAATCTAAAAAACCCAGCTATCATCGTTTCTCTTTACCTCATTATTACTATACAGATAGACAATCTATTGAGGAACTGCATAAATGTTCAAAAATACAGTGAAGCAAACCTGGTTGAAGGTTTAACATGTTGTTAAATGTTAATCAATCCAATGAACTCCGGCAGAAAAAGCAGGTTTGGTGAAAGGCCAAAGGAAGTGTCAAGTTGACTATAGCATTTGCAGAGAGAAATACTAAAAAAACTAAAGAATATTTGATGCCTTAATCCCGCCATTCTCACTTTAATAAGACCACCCCAAATGATCATCATGGAGATAAATAAGTAAGACAAATAAATAAGATAAATAAATAAGACAAATAACCCCTCATTGAAAAATCAGTGTAATTCAATGATACTTTAGTAATTGAAAATACGACCAATCTACGTCCATATTCTTTTGGAATGATGTAGAAATTGTGCAACAGTTATGACATCAACAACACTAGGAAAAAAATATATATAAAAGTAAGAAGCATCCAAGGTAAACCCAAATACCATAACAAAGTAATAAAAATCAAAGGAGAAAAACTCAAACAATAGCGATAAAGGACAAAGATGAGTAGTACCCTGAGAAGGTTGAGCATTTTCAGCAACACTAGGTATCTTTGATGTTTGTGGTACTCATTCATGTCCATTGTTGGCATCAGGGATCTAATAAATATTAACATTTTAGGTAACGATACTTTTTTATGATAAAAATTTCATTAAAAATATTTAAAGCTTATAAAATCGAGTTACATGTTCAACTGAGGTGTCATTGCTACTTTGAGGCATAGATGCATTAGGAGCATATTTGCTCATGAATTGTCTCATTTGGAGTAGCTCTAGTTGCATCTTCTCCTGATTTTGTTTCATCATATTCATTTCTTCATTTTGTTTCTCCTTTAACTCGATTATCTCCTGTTCTAACCTTTGTATAACCTCATTAGACGAATCATCTGCAATAGTATTTCCTATGGAAGACTTACTACCCCATAGAACAAAAGGAGTTGGACCAAGTCCCAAAGCACAAACATACCCACTATTTTCATTTCCCAACACCTGGGAATACACATCGCCTTCCCAAGCAACACTGCGAGGAGGTTGCTCAATAGATCTCCCACTATTGCTCATCCTTTCATTTATCATTTCTTGACCATAGTGATAGATCCATTTTGGAATTCATGAACATGAAAATAGCTTAGCAATCTGTATATTAACCTCAACCTTTATTACTGAAAATTTCATTCTTAATCCATAAGCAAGATAATTTTTCAAAGTTCAATCCGTGCACCCATTGACTAACAAGATGACATGATACTCAACTAGGCACATAAATCACTGATTTCAATTCCTTTCATTACCTAACATGTGACCTAATTAACAAATGACCCAAAAATTCCCATATAAATGCAACAAGTTTCAGTCATGTTTCATGAAGATTATATTTAGCTCCTTAATGTAAAAAATAAAAGTATCAACAGCTAACTTCAAGCACTATGTCCACGAACTCCAATTTCATTAGCTACAGCCATTGAACATCAGAATAGGCCACTGCTAGAAAGTATTCTGTAATGTCATTTAGTAATGTAACAGAAATTCTTCATCTCTTTAACTATACTATTGTTTCTAATCTTCTTTGATATTCGGTGTTGTCTCTCATAAGCTATTATGGTATTGAAAGAGTTACTAACCTATAGTTTATTTAATTTAATGTAAACACAAATGGTTCTTTCACTTCTTCGAAAAAAAAATGAAGTTCATTTGGCCAAGTGAACAATAATATTGATCATGTGCGTAGCAAATTGCTCCAATTTCTTTAAACTGTGTAACCATGAAGATGCCTCTTTTATTCACCAGCAAATGCAAATTCCCAAAGGACAAATTCATGAAAAAATCAATATTTTTTCTTTTCGACAACCATAGCAACAGGGAAGTTGATGCCTAATATCTTTGAGTGAATGAAGAAACATGAACAAAATCCACAATATTTCTCATGTTCTATCTGTTTCCCAATTTATAAATAAAAGAAAGAATAAATCTTACGATTGTCTTGGCAGAATCATCATCCAGTGGTATACCATCCTTACGTTTTGTATGAGTTAATATGAAAATTTCTGCTCGTGTAGGGCTCTATCCCGTTTACAGCCTAATGCAATAAAAATGATATCAGATATGCGTGACAAAAAGGTTTAAAATATTATAATTTGTAATATTCACAGGTTTACCTACTCATTCATCAAGGTAGCAATACTTTTGGATCCTCCTGTGTGAGGCATCTTTTGTTTGGCCCTATCATTTCTATTTGCTTGGGTACGTATGTGTCATTCAATGATATTAAAACGAGATCTTATAAATAATAAATATAAATTGAGAATAACTAAAATCAAAACGCTATGAATATGAGCTAGGAGAATTCTCAAGGTTGATACCTTAGCTTTATCAGAAAGCCAATAAGAGACAAAACTACTCCATTAATCACTTATACTTGCATAACTTTCAATTTTTGAAACGACCATAACACCACTATTTTGTGTCTCCTTAAACTCTTCGCTTTACTTCGTTGGAAAACGATACCCGTTATTTACCTCGAACGCATTAAATCTTTTCGCAATGAAACTAGGCCCTTGTGCAAGGACTTTAACATCCTTTAAGATGTTAGACGTGGCTTCCAGCTCCTTCACCTAACCAAATAGAAAGACAAAACTATAAATGTAGATATTTCTACAAGGACAATAATTTAAAGTAGCCAATGACTTAGTCACTTACTTGCTCCTGGAACCACTCATGAAATGTATAGAAATGCACACGATCAAGTTGATGTTGCGTTAAACGATGCTTACGATGTGATATCTTGATTTCAGCAATATGTTCCCTATTCATGTAACTCGCATATGTAATTTGTTATCAAATATGTCATACATATATTCAATAATAGATATAACACTTACTTTTTATAATTCTCAACCACCTCTGCCTCGCAATTGAAAAGATTCGTTTGACAATTTGAACATGCATTTTGTACGATAGATATGCAGCAAAAAGGACAGTTTGCTAAACTTCTTGCATCCAGGATATAGTTCTTCGTTTGCCTCCTTCATGAGCCGTTCAAACTTATCCACCTCTGGATATGAATGATTTCCAGATGGATGAGTAGTATTTTCTTGTAGGTTTGGTTCCATCTGACCCCTTCCACTAACGTTAGTCTCCACAAACTGTGTAAAGTCTCCAAAGACATCATGTATCATTCCTCTCATATCATCGCCCCTTAAAGTTGATTGGTTGCGATTATTTACTTTAGTATTATTTGATGCCTTAAGAGACTCCCCATGATAAAATCAAGTATCATATGAAGGCATAATCCCATTAACCACAAGATGATCATATGTTGTGGCCCGTTTTACTTGATGGATAAGCACACATTCCATACAAGGACATAAAAAAATTTCTCCATCTTGTTTTTTAAAAAAGGCGTGGTTTAAAAAAATCCTCTACTCCGTCCAAGTATTCTTTACTAACTCTGTCAGAATACATCCTATCTTTTATTTTTAGGATGTCCATAACATTCAAGATATTCTTTTATCTTCTACAATTATTATAACGGCCAAAAATACATTAGTAAAAAGAGGAGAAATTCTTAGTGAATTAAGAAACGAGGAAGAAGCAGAAAAGATAAAAGATAATTTAGTTTGATTCCATCATAAATAACTGAACTACATTAAGAAATTACCTCAAATACTCAATAAATCATCTTCTTAATATATAAATCCATAGCACACAAGTTCGAGAAGTATCATCAGAAGTTATCCAAGACACACTTCTCAAAAATTGAATTACATCAACTTTATTATATGAATCTGAGACGAAGGAATACCAAAGAAGATGCGCAAATAGTACTAGTTATATCGCAATCGATGTAGGTGGGCATTTTCATGTTTATAAAATCTCAAAAACTCACATTATTTTTTTATATTAAAACACAAATAATTTACACAAATAATTTATTTTCGATTTTAGATTTGCTGAAATAAATAGTTGTTCATATTCAACCTCTTCCTCTTGATACAATCACAAATGCTCTGGCAGATGAATGCTTTTCTAAAATATATATTAGAGAGAAAAAAAACTTATTCTATCGCACTAGATTTGCTATAATATCTCAACAACTAGAGATCTAGAATATAGAACCAATGAAGTTAAAACACTAAATTCACAATGCAATATGGAAAATTGTGCTATAAAATCAATTACATTGTAGGAATCAATAGGTGGTATGATTCGAATATTGGAAAAGGAGTTTCATAGAAACTGGAAGGTAGAAAATTATATAAACCAACAATACCAAATTAGAAAAGATACTAAGAGAATTCTCTTTCAAGAATTAAATCTTCGGCAATCAAAAACCCTACACCCAACAATTAGAAAATTTTATCAACCAAATTAGAATTTTCAAGATGACGGTCTGGGAACTGGTTGTAATGGTTATCCGATGTCCGAGGAGTAGCCGGCGATTTGGGTTTTGTTACAATTGTTGAATTTCAAAACCCAAAGAATGTAATTTCTATGTGCATTCTTGTAGTTATTGATATGGGAGATAAAAATTATAGAAACTATCAACAAAGTAACCAAAAAAACAAAAACAAAACTCATCATATTCGTTGGAGGAATCTGATGTGAGATTCAAACTTTATTTTTGTACCATCCACTAACTCTAATATAGTCAATCCACATGATGGTATGACCTAAAGAATAATAAAGATACTTACCAACAATCTGATGGGGCCGTCAATTTGGCTGCCGATGGAGATTTAGAGAGCTTGCCCTAGGAATTGTTTTTCTTTAATTGTAATTTTTGAGAGGGTATGAGCGGGTATAATGTTTACGCGGGAGGAAAAAATAGGAATGGGAGGGAATACCAAAAGTAAATATTTACCGATTAATATTCATTAGTCGCTAATATTTTCCGTCCGCGAATAAATTGGCGGCAATTAATTTATTGCCGCTAAGTAATTGCCGCTAAAGCCCCATTTTGTTGTAGTGCAATATCAACGTTCGAGGAAATGGCGGATAAGTTCGTCACAGCCCATGCAGGCGCGAAGAAAGCGGAGGCCAGGGTCAACGACATCTTCGCCGTCAGGCAAACCACAGGAGAGGGACTCAGGACTTCCTGGCAAGGTTTAAAAGGGTAAGGATGAGTCTGCCAAACGTATCGGAAGGAACCTGAAATGTATTCCCTTGTTCTCCAAGTGGGTGCCTGATTGCCAAAACTTGAACTGTATTCCCTTGTTCTCCAGGTGGGCGCCTGATTGCCAAAACTTGAACTATATTCCCTTGTTCTCCAGGTGGG